TCCTCAGACACCCCTCCTCAGACACCCCCTCCTCAGACACCAACCCTCAGACACTCCCTCCTCAGACACTCCCTCCTCAGACACCCCCTCCTCAGGACACCCCCTCACTCCCTCCTCAGACACCCCTCCTCAGACACCCCCTCCTCAGACACCCCTCAGACACCCCCTCTCAGACACCCCCTCCTCAGACACCCCTCCTCAGCTCCTCAGACACCCCCTCTCAGACACCCCCCTCCTCAGACACCCCCTCCTCAGACACCCCCTCCTCAGACACCCCCTCCTCAGACACCCCCTCCTCAGACACCCCCTCCTCAGACACCCCTCCTCAGACACCCCCTCCTCAGACACCCCCTCCTCAGACACCCCCCTCAGACAACCCCCTCCTCAGACACCCCCTCCTCAGACACCCCTCCTCAGACACCCCCTCCTCAGACACTCCCTCCTCAGACACTCAGACACCCCTCCTCAGACCACCCCCCTACTCACAACACCCCCTCTCAGACACCCCCTCCTCAGACCACCCCTCCCTCCTCAGAACTCACCGCCTCAGACACCCCTCCTCAGACACCACTCAGACACCACCGCCTCAGACACCCCCTCCTCAGACACCACCTCCTCAGACACCACCTCCTCAGACACCCTCCTCAGACACCCCCTCCTCAGACACCCCTCCCCAGACACCACCTCCTCAGACACCTCCTCAGACACCACCTCCTCCTCAGACACCCCTCCTCAGACACCCCTCCCCAGACACCACCTCCTCCCTCCTCAGACACCCCCTCCTCAGACACCCCCTCCTCAGACACTCCTCCTCAGACACCCTCCTCAGACACCCCCTCCTCAGACACCACCGCCTCAGACACCACCTCCTTCAGACACCCCCTCCTCAGACACTCCTTCCTCAGACACCACCGCCTCAGACGCCACCTCCTCAGACACCACCTCCTTAGACACCACCTCCTCCTCCTCAGACACCACCTCCTCAGACACCCCCTCCTCAGACGCCACCTTCCTCAGACACCCACCTCCTCAGACACCACCTCCCCTTCCTCAGACACCCCCTCCTCAGACACCCCTCCTCCCTCCTCAGACACCCCCTCCTTCAGACACCCCTCCTCAGACCACCCCTCCCCAGACACACCTCCTCCTCCTCACACACCCCCTCCTCACACACCCCTCCTCAGACACCCCCTCCTCAGGCACCACCTCCTTAGACACCCCTTCCTCAGACACCACCTCCTCAGACACCCCTCCCAGACACCCACCTCCTCAGACACCCCCTCCCAGACACCACCTCCTTCGTCCTCAGACACCCCCTCCTCAGACACCACCTCCTCAGACCACCCCCTCCTCAGACACCCCCTCCTCAGACACCATAGACACCACCTCCTCAGACACCCCCTCCTCACCCCCTCCTCAGACACCACTCACACCACCTCCTCAGACACCCCCTCCTCACTCCTCCTCAGACACCACCGCCTCAGACGCCACCTCCTCAGACACCACACCTTCACCTCCTCCTTCCTCAGACACCACCTCCTCAGACACCCCCTCCTCAGACGCCACCTCCTCAGACACCACCTCCTCCTTCCTCAGACACCCGTCCTCAGACACCACCTCCTCAGACACCACCTCCTCAGCTCCTCACACCACCCCTCCTCACACACCCCCTCCTCACACACCCCCTCCTCAGACACCCCCTCCTCAGACACCACCGCCTCAGGACCAGCCTTAACGAACGGCTCGCTACCGTCGTATTAGGGCGCCCGCTGCAACGCCTCGCCCGGGTTAAGACGGCCCTTCGTCAGCCTATCGACGAGGATCGAGAGAGGAACTAGGTATTAGGGGCAAGTGGAGTGAATTTGCCTTCCCACGCGCGAGGGAGGCGGGCGGGGGAGGGAGTGAGGGAGATAATAAGGGAGTAAGTGATCTTTTAAGTTTGATTGTAAGTAAGTGATCTTGTAAATAAGTTTGAATGTGAGTAAGTGAGCGAGGGAGGCGGCGGGGAGGGAGCGAGGGAGAGAGTAAGGAGTAAGTGATCTTGTAAGTTTGAGTGTAAGTGGGTGATCTTGTAAATAAGTTTGAATGTGAGTAAGTGAGCGAGGGAGAAGGTTGGGGGAGGGAGCGAGGGAGAGAGTAAGGGAGTAAGTGATCTTGTAAGTCTGAATGTAAGTGAGTGATCTTGTAAATAAGTTTGATTGTGAGTAAGTGAGCATGTAAGTGAGTTAAGTACAATGAGGATAAGTAAGTATGTGAATAAGGAATAGTAAGTGAGTAAGTGATCTTGGAAATAAGTTTGAATGTAAGTGATCATGTAAGTGAGTAAGATACAATGAGGATAAGTAAGTATGTGAATGAGGAAGAGAGTGAGTAATCCAATAAGTAAATGGTAATATAAGAGAGAGAGAGACAGAGAGAGAAGATGAGAGAGAGAAGAGAGAGGAGAGAGAGAAGAGAGAGAGAGAGAGAGAGAGAGAGAGAGAGAGAGAGAAGAGAGAGGGAGATCCAGGGAAGAGAGAGAGAGGGGCCGAGATAAGAGCGAGGGCGAGAGAAAGAAAGCAAAGAACGAGAGACAAAGCAAGTGACAGAGCCATGGAAAGAGAGATCGAGACACCGAAAAAGGAGTGAGGGCGAGAGAAAGAGAGAGAGAGCCACGGAAGGGGAGAGAGAGAGAGAGAGACGGAAGAAGAGTGAGAGAGCGAGAGATCCAGGGAAATAGAGTGACAGCCAGAGACAGCGTAAGAGCGAGAGAGCAAGAGTGAGAGGGCCAGGGAAAGAAAGAGGGCAGAGCAGAGAGGCGAGAGGGAGGAGAGAGGAAAGAGAGACAGCCCGAGAGGAGCAGAGCAGAGAGCGAGAAAGAAAGAGAGACAGAGCAAAGAGCGAGAGGGAAAGAGAGACAGAGCAGAGAGCGAGAGAGCGAGAGGGAGAGAGAGACAGAGCAAAGAGCGAGAGGGAAAGAGAGACAGAGCAGAGAGCGAGAGAGCGAGAGGAGAGAGAACAGAGCAAAGAGCGAGAGGGAGAGAGACAGAGCAGAGAGCGAGAGAGAGAGAGGAGAGAGAGAGAACAGAGCAAAGAGCGAGAGGGAAAGAGAAGAGAGAGCAGAGATAGAGAGAAGAGCGAGAGAGAGAGCGAGCAGAGCGAGAGGGAAAGAGAGACAGAGCAAAGAGCGAGAGAGCGAGAGGGAAAGAGAGCAAAGAGCGAGAGAGCGAGAGGGAGAGAGAGACAGAGCAAAGAGCGAGAGGGAAAGAGAGACAGAGCAAAGAGCGAGAAGACAGGAGCAAGAGCGAACGAGAGCGAGAGGGAAAGAGAGACAGAGCAAAGAGGCGAGAGAGGCGAGAGGGAAAGAGAGACAGAGCAGAGAGCGAGAGGGAAAGAGAGACAGAGCAAAGAGCGAGAGGGAAAGAGAGACAGAGCAAAGAGCGAGAGGGCGAGAGGGAAAGAGAGACAGAGCAGAGAGCGAGAGAGCGAGAGGGAGAGAGAGACAGAGCAAAGAGCGAGAGAGCGAGAGGGAGAGAGAGACAGAGCAAAGAGCGAGAGAGCGAGAGGGAAAGAGAGACAGAGCAGAGAGCGAGAGAGCGAGAGGGAGAGAGAGACAGAGCAAAGAGCGAGAGGGAAAGAGAGACAGAGCAAAGAGCGAGAGGGAAAGAGAGACAGAGCAGGAGAGCAGGAGGAGAGAGCGAGAGGGAGAGAGAGAGAGCAGAGAGCGAGAAGAGAGAGCAAAGACGAGAGACAGGAGCGAGAGGGAAAGAGAGACAGAGCAAAGAGCGAGAGCGACGAGCGCAAAGAGCGAAGAGCGAGAGGAAAGAGAGACAGAGCAGAGAGCGAGAGAGCGAGAGGGAGAGAGAGACAGAGCAAAGAGCGAGAGGGAAAGAGAGACAGAGCAAAAGAGCGAGAGGGAAAGAGAGAAGAGCAGAAGAGACGAGAGAGCGAGAGGGAAAGAGAGACAGAGCAAAGAGCGAGAGAGCGAGAGGGAGAGAGAGACAGAGCAAAGAGCGAGAAGGAAAGAGAGACAGAGCAAAGAGCGAGAAGGAAAGAGAGACAGAGCAAAGAGCGAGAGGGAAAGAGAGACAGAGCAAAGAGCGAGAGGGAAAGAGAGACAGAGCAGAGAGCGAGAGAGCGAGAGGGAAAGAGAGACAGAGCAAAGAGCGAAGAGAGCGAGAGGGAAAGAGAGACAGAGCAAAGAGCGAGAGAAAGAGAGACAGAGCAAAGCCGAGAGGAAGAGAGACAGAGCAAAGAGCGAGAAGGAAAGAGAGACAGACAGCAAAGAGCAGAGAGGGAAAGAGAGACAGAGAGAGCGAGAGGGAGAGACAGAGCAGAGAGCAGAGGGAAGAGAGACAGAGCAAAGAGCGAAAGGAAAGAGAGACAGAGCAAAGAGCGAGAGGCGAAGGGAAAGAGAGACAGAGCAAAGAGCGAGAGAGCGAGAGGAGAAGAGAGAGACAGAGCAAGAGCGAGAGGAGAAGAGAGACAGAGCAAAGAGCGAGAGGGAAGAGAGACAGAGCAGAGAGCGAGAGACGAGAGGGAAAGAGAGACAGAGCAAAGAGCGAGAGAGGAGAGGAGAGAGAGACAGAGCAAAGAGGCGAGAGGAAAGAGAGACAGAAGAGCGAGAGAGCGAGAGGGAAAGAGAGACAGAGCAAAGAGCGAGAGAGCGAGAGGGAGAGAGAGACAGAGCAAAGAGCGAGAGGGAAAGAGAGACAGAGCAAAGAGCGAGAGGGAAAGAGAGACAGAGCAGAGCAGAGAGCGAGAGGGAAAGAGAGAGACAGAGCAGAGAGCGAGAGAGCAGAGAGACAGAGCAAAGAGCGAGAGAGGAGGAGCGAGAGGAGAGAGAGAGACAGAAGC